GCTTGTGGCACCGTTGGGAAGTGTGTAAAACCCATAACATAGTTTGAGTGAAATTCAGTAGATGAAGCTGTTCGTAAGCTGTCGATAGCTGTGTAAGCACGAAGTCACAAGTCATCATGATCGAGGAATTAAGCATACAGTCCTTGTTAACACTCCCAGCTAAATAGCAAGGCTGACTGGGTTTTCTTGTCTTGGAGTGGAGAGAAAGAAAACCAAACTGAAGAGGTATGGGCTCCGTCAGGCTATCTTGTTCTAGAAACACCACTGCTGCTACGGCTCATGGGATATAGGACGCATGCCAACATGTGATTTATGCTGCAACTATATTTAACGAAACTTAGTCTCAGTTTTTGTTGTATCCTTAAAGAGGTTACAGACAGACAAAGGGTGGTACTTGAGTGAGGGAACAGCAACACGTACGTAGATGAAAAAAGAGAGGTTTATTGTAAAAGAGAATACACTACTGAAAGACAGGGAATCGGGTGGCAGGCTAGTAATTCCCGAAACAAGGATATTTACTTTACCTCCCCGCGAGGCAGGATGTGGCACAAGGCCTTTTTTAATGCGGGGTCAAAACCAAGCCCGTTGGCTCGCGCAAAAATGTCCCCGTAGACCCCGTATACACGGGGTCGGGTAGCTGTCTACCACCCCAGACGAGGGGCATAGCTTCGTCTGGGTTCCTCTCTGCCTTCAGGCAGAGAGTTCGACCGGCAGAGCAGGAGACGAATCTACAATTGCCGAAGCAAGGATATTTACCAACGGCCCCGGCGGTCAGATATGGCACAAGGCCGAATTTAACGTGGGTTATCCGAGGGAGTTCAAAAGTGTCTACACGGCCTTGTGGGCGATGAATAATTTTCCACCCTACAATTCCTTTCCCACAAAACCTCGCAAGCCTCTCGCTAATCCATCACTATTTCCATGCCATGTGTCCTGACGAGCTGACGAGATGTGTCTTGGCTCCACCAGACCCTGGCCTTTGCAGTTGGGACCCGCCATGCCACAAACTCAGTTATGAATCCTCCTCGTCTCATGTCGTATTCCCTTAGTAAGAAGTTCCACTCGGGTAGCTTCACCCCAAGAACTGCTGCTTTGTAGACCAGACTCCCGGCAGGATGTTTTTCCCGATCACTACAATCTTGACCTCTTTAAATCCAGACTTAACCTTTACATATCCTACATAACCTCATGTGACTGTACCTTTCTTACTCTCATGCAACAACACACAGTGACTATCTTTATTGAGTGGCTCTTGGACCTTGTATGGTGTGAACGTTAGTTAAAAAAAAACACTTCCTTCAAAAACTGTCCTGGGTAAGACGATATACTACATCCAACAGCAAACCTCTGATCAGGAGTTTTTAAGGAGCGTGGAACCACCTCTTAATGACCCGGGTGATAGCATCTCCTAGGGTCCCAGCTATGGGTAAATAGTTAACTCCCAAACTGAGGTCAAAACACTATGAAAGTGTAAAAATAGGTTTTAATACCAGAAATACTTTGTAAAAATTATTACCAGAAACAAATTTTTGACGAAAAATTATTACCAGCAATAGAGTATTTATTTACCAGCAATACATTTTTGAAAAAAATAATTACCAGCAATAACAATTTTGTCAGCATTAAATAATCCATTGAGGTTGATATTCCGTAAAAAAAAACGAACAAACCAATCCTTGAAAAAACTGACCATAATCAGATTCGAATCTGGTCAGAATTCTAATGTGCTAGCCATTTGGCCACCAAGCTAAATTAAGTTTTGTAATTATAGATAATTAAAAAACATCAAATTTTTATACAGGTATTTTAACATAACATCTTTAAATAAAATCTTTAATGTCAGAAAATTTTAATATTAGCACCGCAGAAAACATAAGTATAAACAAAACACACCGTTTTGGATCTTAAAGTTCCAGTTGTAATGATCAAACCCCATTTTTTACATACTTGCAATAACCGGGTTAATACCGAATCTATAATACGGGCCTACCGAATCTATAATACGGGCCCACCGAATCTATGATAAGAGCTCGCATACTATAAAATCTCAATTTACATGAGGTAGTGTTCATATAAAATACAAATTTTAAAACAAACAAATAGTGGATAACATGCAATATATTTGAACAATTCAACGAGAAAAAATTATATATATATAAAGTACAGTGTATGTGTGTGTGTGTGTGTGTTGTGTGTGTGTGTGTCCAAGCAACTCCTCCATTCCTACTGGTCCGATTTCAATGATTCATAGTTCACTCAAGTGCTGTAGAAAAGTTAGGCGCAGGGAACGATTTTCGTTGCGCTCAGATTCAGCGTTGCTAGATTATGCGAGGTTAAAGATATATATTAATATATTATACTAGCCATTATCGTTGCTTTCATGCATCAAGTGGAGTAACTCTTATTTTTCGTTTGTATCCAAAATTGCAGCTAGCTTCAAATTTTAAGCTAGCTAAAATTTTAAGCCAACTTAAAATTTTAAGCTAGCTTAAATGCCGACCAATAGGGCGACTTTTAACCTAGCTCCTCTTGGTTTGGTCATCACCACAACAGCTACGGATAAGTAGGTGCGATAGGCATCAATAAACTACAGAAGAACTCAAAATTGATCGCTGCATTCAAGTATTGAATTAATGTTTAAGCTTGCCGTTTAAAAGATCAACAATAATTCTTCTGCTGTTACTTAATTTAAACATGATTTGATGTATGTAGATCCTTATTTTCAATACAAACAATTTTTAATTCATGGGTGATAGAACAATTTTAAGACAATTTAAGATAAAAGATAAGATAGTACATTAAAGATAGGAAAATAGAAATTAGATAAAAATTAGTTATAACATGAAGAGAAACGGATTTGAAGAGCCTGTGAAACATAATAGCTAATTAAGTAAAACCCGGATATATTTTCTGCTCCCAAATTAGAGCCTGTGTTAATGTATATAAATAGACCAAACCCGGATATAAGAGAAACCCGGATATAAGAGAGATTTTCTCTGGTCCCAAATTAGAGCCTGTGTTAATGTATATAAAATAGACCAAACCCGGATATAAGAGAAACCCGGATATAAGAGATTTTCTTCTCCGGTCCCGACAAACCTCTCTTAGAATCCGGATATAAGAGATTTCTCCGGTGACAATGGAATCTATATGAATAAATGCAAAATTGGAGGTCAATTCTCCCACGAATTCTGAGATTAAAAAGCCCCAGTTCTACTTTAAATTGTAATTTAAACACTAAAAGCTCAATATCTGTATTAATATATATTACAGACATTGAACATTATGGATAAAAAAATAGTGAATTTTATACAGTGTTTTTTTCGAAACTTAACATGAGCAAAACAAATTCACGGATTTAGACAAAAAAAAAACCCAACCCAGAATGACGTCACAATCTGAAAAAAAAATCCATCCTTTAATAGTCAGTTGTGCTTAGTTTAATTTGTAACTTATTTGTGACTTATATAAATGTAGGTAGAAAAAAGCAAATGGTGATCAGATAGCGAGAGCCACAAAGCACTGCCCGGTGCTCCCAATAAAGCTAGTCCCCTCCTCCTATCGGGGGTTTCAGGGATTGTAAGCGCCGACCGTGTGTGTGTTTACATTTAAATTGGTTTATATGTTTTTGGATGTTGAAAAATGTGCCTGGGATGTGTTTATTTCATTTCATTTCCCGCGCAACGAACAGAGTTTCGTCCGTTGCTAGCCTATGCTTAGCTCGTGACGTCACTTCCGATGTTAACCTGTGAACGTCGACGGTCGCACAACGTAATTTCCTGCGGATCATAACTTCATTTCTGATTGGATTACGCGTGGTGAACAGGCCACGGCGTTCGTCCGCCAAGTCCGGCGCGACGAATTTCTCTCTCTTTTTATTTTTTTTTTTCTTTAATGTATATATATTTTTTATTTCAAAATTGTCGACGATGAAGAATTCATTCGAAGTACGGAATTTAGCAATTCTGGAACATAAGTTTTCCGATACAACGGTACTGTGTCATTTTCTTTTAAAACCGTTTTACTCTATTCTTATCTGTGTATCGAATTGTGTTTTCTTTGTTTTTTAAATGAATTCTCTTATTCTTAATCTTGTTTTTGTTTTTCGGTCGGAATTATATTCTATTACATTTGCTAATTTTTGTAGTTTTTTTCTTCAAGTTAAATCGATTATTGATTCATTTTCGTTTTATTTTAATTTTTTTCAGTAATATTTTATTTATCAAAAAATGAACGAAGACATTGTTTTGGTAATTGACTACTCTCTTAAAAGCACACCCATTTTAAATGCATTTATAGTATAAACTCGTGTATAAACCGTCTTCATGTATAATACGACCCCTGATTTTTTCATGACTTTTAACCCAAAGAAAATATTTACCTGCTTATAATGCAACCTATCACCGAAAATGCATGATCTTAACCTCTTCAAAAAAAAAAAAAAAAAAAATTACCTGTGTATAGTGCGAACCGCTATTTTTTTAGCGTAAAAAACTGATCATAAAATCTCGCAATATAATATTTGAGTATACACTATATATATTTTCTGCATTCTTGTGAAAATTAATTTATATGATTTTTAACTTACTGTTTCGTTAAACCGTCGGAAATGTGTGCGCGTGCGTGTGTGTGTGCGTGTGTGTGTGTACGCGTGCGCGCGTCCTTGTGGAATATCTAAAGAGGCGGGAAATTCTAGGGAATACCAATGTATGTAGATAGGTCCATCAGTAAATCCGTAGCCTGTAAATGATAATAATTAAAAAAATATTTACACGACGTATATTTATTTTGTAACAAAATCTATTTCCTTGTCAATACACTTAATTCAATGATCAACTATCGTAGAGACTATATATATATATATATATATATATATATATATATATATATATGGTGAATGTTCCAAATAAAAAATTAGCAAATAATGTGTCAGACCATGGAGTTATTCATCCATCGTAAGATAAAACAAAATACACGAAGATATTTTGTTTATAGCTTGA